GACAGAATCTGCTGGAAGGAGTGTCTTCTTACCATTAAGAAGTATCAAAAGAGTGGAAAGGACAGGTTAGGATCAGGAGATGCCTAAGAATAGGATGGACCATACTGGTATCTGGTCTCATATAATTTTAAAGACAAAAAGGACCATTATATAATTTAGTCTGATGCCCTGACCACTATATCATTTAGCTGTTAAATTTCATGTACTTGCCCAAGAATTAAGCTCAACAACTTGCGATGCAGGCAGCCCTCTCCAGTTATCACCCTGCTGTGCTCAATGGCCACTGGTAACAATGGAGGCAGTAGTTGGAATGTCCTGCTCTAATAGGCGCAGTACCTCTGGAACTAGAACTGTTGTGTCTTCCTGTTGTCTTAGCCAATAGAGACTCTAGGACGCAGAGCAGCAGTTTTGATCCCATCCAGTGATATGCGTATGCTATACTAATCAACTGGATAAATTGCTCTTCCCAATATGGGGATGATGAACTTGAGTGGGACTGCCCCCCCCAACAGTATACCTGATCATTAATGCTCCAAAAGATCACCTGACCCTCTGCCTGCTGTAGAAGCAGAAGTACAAAAGCCAGAGCAGGAAACAGATTTTAAGCAATAAGCATCCCTAGTAAACAGCACAGCTGCTGCTGATAACTCCAATTCCAAACATCCCCAATTTACAAGGGTTCCTCAAGAATGTTATGTTACATACCAGGATTTGAAATAATGGTATTAGAACAGAAATTGCTTAAAAAGAGTTAAGTAAAGCATGCTAATGAATTTTTATATTTGTATGCAGTGTACTTAAAATGATCTTCTTTAACTTTAGGAAACTTAGTGTGTAGTATAATGCTTTAAAACAGTTCCATTGTTCAAAAGAAACTTAAACAAAGTCTTAGTTTCCCTTTTTGTGCAAGAAAACATGTATGAAATAACTAATTTAGAATTGTTAGGAAATAAATCATCCTAGTTGTCACAACCCAAGGGTGTGATTTGATGTGTGTGTGCTTCGGCACTGCTAAATTATTTCCCGCCACTCGGAGCTTTCTTTGCAGGGTGCATTTCTCAGT